TAGATTAATTACACAACAAAAACCAAAAATAATAATAAATTTTATAGATTTTGCGTGTGGTATTTAATTAATTTTAAAATTTAAATAAATAATAATAAAACTAATATTAATTAAATTTATTAATAATTTATAGGGAAAAAAAGAAACAAAAATTAAATATTAGTTGTACTATAATAATAATATATATTTAGTTTTTTTTTAAAAAAAAATAGAATAAAGAAAAACAATATCTTGTAATTATATAATAATAGATAAAATAGTATATATAAAATAATAATAAGCTTTTAAAAAAAAAATGCCACCACCAAATCAATCAGCAGAACTTTTAGAAAATATTAAAGCTAGTATCAATAAAAGAAATAGTATAGGCGTTTTAAATAGTAGCACAGGAAGTAGCGGTAGTGGTGGGAATACATTATCTTTATCATCGGAAATAGAAAGGAGGAATATAAATTCATTAGGCACAACATCATATCATTTATCACCACCAGGATCACCAAATGTAAATAAAGAGGAAAAAGAGAAAAAAAGATCATCATTATCATTTAAATCATTAAAAGATAAAGAAAAAGATAAGGAAAAGGATAAAGAAAAGGATTTAAAATCATCATCATCATCAATTGGTCAATCACACATTAGCGTTAGATCTGATGATTTACAAAATGCAATTAAAAATTTAAAAAAGAATGTTATTGTTAAAAAGAATTTAGTAGTAGAGTCGGCTGATGAAGGTATGTAGTTTATTATTTTTTTATTTATTATAGTTTTATTAGAATTTAGATTAGTTTATAATAGTAATCAATCATTTATCAAACCCCATAAATCATTGCCTTTAATAAAAAAAAAAAAAAAAAAGTAATCATTGTTATTTTATTATAAACTTTTCATAAAAATAAAAAATAGTCAATGAATATTTAAATAATCCATAGAAATCCAAATAATAATCAATTTACATAAAATATTAGTATAAGGGCAAAATTATAAAAAAAAATACCCCTCATTAACTCACACACAGATACACATATACACAATCTTTAATCATTTTATTTTTATTATCAAATTTTTGTAAACAAAATAACAATGAAAAATAGTATTATTAAACACAAATAATTATAATAACATAAAAAATAACAATAGTATATATAAGTGTTTATTTTATTTTGTTTTATTTTGTGTGTGTGTACATGTGTGTTAATCTATATGTGTGTATCTGTTATTTGATATTAAAATTTATCACACACAATATCAATATAAATAATACCACTATTTTTAAAATAATTTTTTTTTTTAAACACACAAATAATAAATAGCATATTATACATTTAAATCTATAGGCATTGGTATATAAATTAAATAATAAATATAAATAAATTAAAAATAGTAATATTAGAATTAGTAGTATATTTAAATTAAATAATTTAATTTTATTGTAACAAAAAATAAATAATAATTTAAACATATAGCACATATACATGTTGTGTGCACAAAAATAATATCAATAACATAAACACATACACAATAATGGCAATAGTAAATGATAACAATAATATTATTACTTTCATTTTTATTTTTTTTTTTATTTTATTTTTTTTTTTTTTTAAAAATAATTTAAATTTATAAAATAAATTAAATTTTATTTATTCAATTTGTATTTTAATAATTTAACAAAAAATATTGTTATTTTTGATTGTTTGTTTTTGTTGTGTTTTCTTTTCAAATAAAAAATAAATAATTTTACATAATAATAATAATTTTTTTATATAATAATAAAAATAATAGTTTGGTTTTTTTCATTTAAAACTTTATAATTTATTTATTTATAGTATTGTAATTATATTTATATTAACTTTATTTTTTAAATAAAATTATTTTTATTTATAAATGACAGGTGTTTCAATTGAGGCACCAGAAAAAAGAGGATTTTTAAGTATTTTAAATTCCGAATCATATACAGCAGCAAATAATAGTGAAAATTGGAATGAAAGATGGTGCGCATTAAAAGAAGGTTGTTTATTTATTTATGAATCGAATCATGACGAAGTCGAAATTGAAATATTATCATTGGATAAAGGTACAGTTAGAGAAAAAGATATCAATAATAAAAGTTTCCAATTAAATGCAACTCTAGTATATAGCAATAATCAATATTATGAAAACGGTGGTCCAACTGTAGTTAGATATCTTTCAACTAAATCAGCAGAGGAATTTGAATATTTTGCATGGATCGTTCAATTAAGAGGTGTTATTTTCTTTTTAAAATCATTAAATAGTTCAACAAATTCCTTATCACCAATAAATGTAATATTATCTTATACTACTATTCATTCATCAATTTTATAGTTATAATAATACTAATATTTTTCTATTTATCTATTAATTTTATAGAGAGTTAAAAAACCAAATCAAAGATACAGTTTACCACCATTATCATCAAATTCACCATCATCACCAAGAGAACCACAACAATCAACATCAGGTTTTGTACCATCCCATAAAAAGGTTGGTAGTACTGGTGGAGTTACAACTACAACAACAACTGCACCATCTAAATCACCATTATCATCATCAAAAGGAGCACAATATCTTTCACCCCCATCTCCATTATCAAGTTCACCAAGTGCACCAGGATTAAATAATTATATGGGATCAAGCGAAGAAGAATCAAATGGATTCAAGAAAGGTTATTTGAATGTTCAAAGTGGTAAATTAATAAGTAAATGGAAGAGCAGATGGGTAGTATTGGCACAAGATACTATTTCAATTTATAAATCACAAGATCACCATGAATCAGCAAAGAAGGAAGCTAAAAAATCATTATCGATTATATTTTGCTCAGCCAAGGTTGTAAAATCAACTAACGATAAATACACATTCCAGATTTTAACTACCGATAAAACTTTATATTTCTCTTGTGTTTCTGGTTCTCAAATGTTAAATTGGATCACATGTATACAAGCAGCCCAATCCATTTCAATGGAAGCTTATTTGAAATACAAAACTGGTGGTCACTCCAATATAAACCATTCAAGAAGTAGCAGTAACTCTAGCAGTAGTGCAGTTACAGGCGGCGGCAGTAACCGTGGTAGCACCAACTATGGTAGTCACATTAGACTCAAGGATGACGATGTTGAAGACGACGTCCAGAAACAATTAGACGAAAACAAAGAATCACTCTTAAAATTATTAGAACAACCTGATAACAAAGTATGTGCAGACTGTGGTAAAGCTGAGCCATTATGGGCTTCAATTAATTTAGGAATTTTCATTTGTATCAATTGCAGTGGTATTCATAGAAATTTAGGTGTTCATCTTTCAAAAGTTCGTTCAGTCACAATGGATATTTGGGATCGTTCAACTATTCAACACTTTGAGGATGTTGGTGGAAACTATAAGGTTAATCAATTATACGAATCAAATTTACCTCTAGGCGTTAAAAAGTTATCCCCAGATTCATCAATGGAAGAAAGAGAAAGATACATAAGAAATAAATATGAACATAAATTATACTATTCATTATCTTCTTCGACAACTACCCCTTCTGATAATCCTTCACCTTTATCTGCATCAATTAGTAGTTCAAATTCTGAAACTTCTGTACAATAAATCATTTATAAATAATAATATAATTAAAAAAATAAATCACAATAACAATAATAATTTTTTTTTTTAAAAAAAGAAACAATCAATAATCAATATATACACTTACAACATACATACTTTTATATATTTAAATTATTATAATAATTATAATAATATCAACCAACAAAAAAAAAAAAAAGAAAAAAAAAAAAAACAACAAAAAAAAACATTAAAAAAACTATTTTTGTAATAAAGAAAAAAAAGAAAAAAACCAATGTTTTTTTTTACCATTATATATTTATATGTATAGATTAATATAATTTCAATTATATCTGGTTTAAACTCTTTTTTTTATCAGAATTCTTTTTTTTTTTTTTTTTTTATTATTTTTCTTTATTTTTAATCAATTAGTAGATTGAATTAATTAATTATATTATATTAAATATTAATTAAACCATTTTTTTTTAAAATACTCAAACATTTAAATTAATGAAATTAAATTAGATGGGATATTGTAAATTCGGTGATCATTTAAACTCTATTACACCAATATGAGAAATGAATATAAAGATCATTTAATTAATAATTTTATTCCTTATAAATCAAATGTGCACAGTGTTCGAGTGTGTTTTAAATGAATTGGTTTAATATAAATAAAAAATCAAATTATTATTAGTTTAATAATTTAAATTTTTTTTTTTAAATTTGTGATTTTTATTACCCCTCATCTTTAAAATAAAAAAGAAATATTAACAGCCCTACATTCTCATCCCTGCCCTCACTATCATTAAAACACCACATTTTCAGAAAAAAACATTTTTATTTTGTTGTTGTTGTTATTTGATAAAATTTTTTGTTGTTGTTAGATGATGTGTTGTTTCATAATAACGAATTTTTTAAAAAACAATCATACCTACATTTCACATGTACAAAGGAATCTTTTAATCTATACTTCTTTTTTTTGTAAATTAACAATTTATATTTTGAATAGTGGTTTTTTTTTTAAGATTTATATCACCATAACAATCAAACACACATACACACAAATTTTTTTATTTTTTTATTTTTTATATTTTATATTTTTTTATTTTTTTATATTTTTTTTTTTAAAATATAAATAAATTGTTTTAAAATATTTTTTTCACTCAATTTTATGAAAAGAGCAATTTATAAATAACAATAGAGATAATATTAGAATAAAAGTTTTTAAAATTAACCTTTTTCTTTTTATTTTTTTTATAAATTTAACTTTTTATTAATAATCATTTGTTTATTGTCACACATAAAAAATTTATATATAGGTTTTTTAAATACATTGTGGGTGGTGTGGTTTTTTTTTTTATAATAATTTTTTAATATTACTATTACCAAATTTAAATATTAACACCAAAATACTGTCGTTTTGATTTCCAAAAATTTCAGTATTAAAAAATTTTGTATAAAAATAATTATAATTTTCTTTTTTTTATAAATAGCATTTTTATTTAATCCAATATTTTCTTTATTCACTTAATAATACACCATATACACAACAATACTTTTATAATTTTTTTAAGTTATATTTAAAATAAATAAACACATAAATTCTTATAGATAAAACATACATATATACACTCATATATAAACATACTTTTTATATAAATCGTGTGTAAATATTGTACATTGGTGTATAACACATATCTTAAAATTTAAAAAAATAGTAATAGTAATAATAATAATAATATTTAAATTTTTTTATAAACAAGGACAAATAATAATAATTAATATTATAATAAATAAATATTTAAATTCTTTTTTTTAAATTTATTTCTTTTTTCTTTTAAATCAATTATTTTAATTATTAAATAATTTATTAAAACTTTAATATCAAAATAATATGATTCCAAAAATTATAGGAATAAGTGGTATGTATTTTTTTTTTTATATAAAATGAAAATAATAAGTATCATTTTATTAATAATTTCTTTATTATAGAAATAGGAAAATATAAAGACTATGATGATACTCAAATAGAAGAACAAAATGAACCTAACTTCAATAATTTTAATAATAGAAGGGGAACAACAAGTGGCAACAGTTTAAGAGTGGATATTCCAAAATCACCAAAATCACCAAAATTTTCATTAATAACACCCAAATCCCCAAAAAATTCTTTATCACCAATGACACCTAAATCACCTAAGTCACCTATGATTTCTTCATTTTTAAATTTAAATAAATCTCAACCATCCCCAATGACACCAAGAACACTTGCATCAAAAAGAGATAGTTCATCAGTTTATGTTATGGAGGATAATGATTATTTATATATCTTATGTAGGGGTTGCAAAACATGTTCAAAAAAATTCCAACATTATATGACCATTAAAAAGATAATTAAAAAAAAGAAAAAAAAATTTTTCAATTTCTAAAAAAATTATTCCAGCTTAATAATCAAAAATTCTTCATTCTTAGTTTAACAAATATATATATTTATTTATATACATTATTTAGAATCACTTTAATTTGGAGATACTAAAAAATGTTAGTTTTAAACTTGTAAATAAAAAAAAAATTATTATTTTATCGAAAATTATATAGTTTTATATTATGTTTTATTTTAATTTATTATATTTTATTTAAATTTATTATAATTTATTTTAATTTGATTTATTATAATTTATTATTATTATTTTTTTTATTTGATCTATTTATTTTATTTTAATTTTATTTATTTTAACAAAATACTAAATAATTGATTTCTAACTGTTTCTTCATCAAACAAAGTGTTGATTTCATACCAAATTGTTGATTTAATCGAATAACGTTCTAGTAATAATTCATCTAAAGGGTGAAGATTTAAAAAACATACATCATCAGGTGGAAGTTGACCATTGATACTACTTCTTTTTCCGAGGTTTGATACACCAAATAAATTGAATTTAAGGGGCCCTAAACTATTTAATGAATTATATTTCTCTTTAATTGATGATAAATCAAAATCCAATGGATTAAAAAGTAAAAGACCTGCTAATTGAACTGAGTTTTCTTTGCTATTATTCTTTGATGGAAAGTTTTCTGGGTTTAATCTGTATGAGATATGAATGAAATTATTTAGGTATTTATAAACTCTGTTTATTTGTGATTTTTCGTCTGTTACTATTATTCCTAAACTACAACTATTGTTACTGAGTTCACTACTAATGAGACTGGCATTTTGTCCATTGTGCATAATATTGATAAGTGAATTATCTGTTGAGATTGAACTTGCATGGCTTGTACATGTAGTATAATTGGCTGTATTGGAATTTAGCATTTGTACTTTATCTTTATTTAATCTTGTAACTCCTGTTAGTGTCTTAATGTTTAAATCAATTTGTGAACCATATTCGCCCTTGGTGTTTTTTAATGGGTTTTCTTTTGGTAATTCTAAATAATCTAAAACAGTGATTTTATAAATAGTTCCTATTTTATCATATTTAAATTCAATACCATTTGATTCAAAGCTAATTACCATACTAACTATTGAAATTGAATCTACATAATCTAGTTGATTATTACTAATATCAATTGTTTCCATGTGTTTGTAGGTTGATAGTTTTGAAAGTGAGTTAAAAATTATTTTTAATCTGCTATCCCTATTTGATGATAATGATGAGCAGTTACTGCTACTTTTAATTTCTTTTAATGTACCATTTGAAAGATTGATATTTTTTAAATTTTTACATTCATCTATTTTTAAATCTATTAAACTTGTGCAACCAAATGCTGAAAAGAATTTTAATTTTGGTGCTGAAATTGAAATGGTTGCTAAATTCTTGCAGTTGTTAAGTGAAAGTTTTTCTATTTGCAAAAGCTTTGTTTGAAATGAAAATAGTTTTGATTTTGGTGAAAAATCTGTTAAGCTACTGCATCCAGAGAGATTGATGATTTGAAGGTTTTCAAATAGATCATAGGTCAAGTGTTGGGATTCTAAAGTTTGAAAATTCTTCAAAGACAAATAGTTAATTTTGTTTCCATTCTTATTTAAAAGATCAATAGTATAGCTTTCATATGACTTTGTTATCTCTTCTCTTTTTAAGTATTTAATAAAACTTTTAATTTGCTTTTGATCTAGATTACTAACTTTACATTGTCTTGTGATTGATGATGATGAGTTTAGGTCATTGATTATAGAACGAATATTATCTATTGAACTAATTTTACCAAATTTGATGATAGCTTTTGAAGGACCATATTTTGTAATAATTTTTGGATTTTTTAATATTTCCTCTGATATGCCATATTGTTTCATAATTTCATTAATTGAAGGTTCATTACCAAATATGTTGTATGTTGATTTGAATTTAGCATTTCCTAAAAAGTAATCAACAATTTGATTTAAAGATATTGTTTTAATTTTCTTGAATAGATTTTGTAAAGCTTTGATTCTTCTAAAGAGCTTTTTAAATTGACCACCATATAACAAAACACCTAGAAATGAGTTTGAAATGTTGCATTTGATATTATTGTTAAAAAATAATTCGATAAATTTTAATTGAATCTTTTCTAAATCTTTTAAAAAATTATTTAATAGTTTTGAAATATCTAAGTTTAAAAAGTTGGTTACTACATCAAAGGAAATTTCAGAGTCCATTTGTTTCAATGAAAAAATTGATAGATTTGTATTTCTGACTTTGTTATGGGCGTTTCTATAGTTTTTTAAAGGTAAAAAACAATTGTCGTTTATAATTGAGTATATATTGTTTTCCGAATCTATAATATAATCATCCAAGTTATCTTCAAACTTTTCAAATAAAACAAGCATAATTATTAACTGTGATAAACTTGAGTTGTTTATAAAAAGATTGCCAATTTGGGATTCCTCGAGTCTAAAATTTTTGGATTCGTTGAGTTCGTAAAGTAAAACTGGCTGACCATTTATAATGCCCATTTCTGAAACTGGTAACTTTTGATCAAAGAGAAGTGTATACAATGAATTGAATGCAAAGTGATAACCTGGGAATTTAGTATTTCTTTTAATACATATTTTGTGGAGCCCATCTTTGACCATATCTATTTCTGTGTCTGTACGAAGAATTCTTTCTTCAACATATTCTTTATTAAAAAAATACAACTTTCTATTTTCTGAGAGATCATTCGAACCAGAGATCGATATTTTTTGAAAGAGATGATCAAAGGATAACAACCAATTAATTTTTGAATTATTTTCTTTTAGTTTGTTTATAGATTCATTAATTTCTAATTTCTCTTCTAATGATAATGATTGATAATAATTATTGATTGTAATTGGATCAGAGTTTTTACCTGCACCTAGATTAATAAGAGTTTGGAAAATTATTTTATTACGATTTTCTTGAACCAAATCTAATGGAGCTATACCATTGTAAACACAATCTACATCACAACCTCTTTTTTCTAATAACTTTATTGACTTTATTATATTGTTCATTAATTTATTATCTTTTACATTTTCAATAATTGAATAAATAATTGGTTTGGAAAGTTTTGGTTCGTTTAAATGTGTTTTTTCAATTTTTAATAATTCGAATGTATTTAAAATTACTTGATCAACCTCTTGTTCTTCTATACTATTGTTGATTAAAACCACAAGCCAATCATTTAATAAGCTATACCATGTTGAGTCAAAAATTGTTTTATCATTTATAATTTGTTTTTTTGATAGGTCAAATAAAAGATTTACAATGTGAATAAACGACCAACTATTATCTTTATTGATTAGATCTGATACTTTGAGTGACGATACAATTGATTCAATCGATTCTTTGATTGTTTGGTGTTTATCTGGTGTGTTATAGTTTGTTCTATTAATGATATCAAAGTAAAACTGACGTTGTGGATCATTTTTTAAATATTCTTCGATTTTATTGTAATCATGGAAAATTGCATAGTTTTGTTCATTTGGAGTCGGTAAAGTTGATGTTTTATTGTAATAAAATGAGGCCAATGGATATATTTCTTTAAATAAACCCGAGTGGGTAATATTATTATTTAAGTTTAAAATATTGAAAATTTTAATTAATCTATCTAACATTTCATTTACCCAGTTGTGTGGAAAAACATGTGGTATCCCTAAATTGCCCATAGTTATTTTTAATGACTCTTCTTTGTTTATGATAGATTGATCAGAGTTTATTAGTTTTTTAATTTGAGATATAATTGCATTTTCTTTATCATACATTTTTGTTAACCACTCTATAACAGCACCGTATGGATTTATTTTTAAAAACTCGCTTTTAACTTTATTGTTGATACGTCGGGCCATGATTGAGTGTAATGTGAATAATATATTTTTAAATTTAATTATAAGATTACCCGATGATGTTCTTTCAAAGTCTTTGTATTTCATACAATCGTCATTGTCTATTCCTATAATTATTTCTTCTTGGGAGTTATATATTAAATTGTCACTTTTTGCATCATTAAAGTTTAATAAAAGACTTACTAAAAAATGGGCTCCAAATGAAAACATGAAATTTTCAGAGTTTGATAGTTCATCTAAAATCTTGGTCAATGGAGATGAAGAGTTCTTGGGTTCAAGAATATTATGAAGGGTTTCGCCATTTTGAAATAAATTTGCCTGTACCGGTGTTGTAAATGATATGAATGAGTTGTATAATTCTTGTTTTTTTGCTGGAAAATAAAGAAGGGTTTCTTCGATGGTTTGGAATTTATTATTTTCCTTAATTTTTAAAATTGATTTATATTGTGGTGATTCTGAATCACAAATAGGAACATTTTGGAAAAAGAGTAGTGATGTTGGTGAAATTATTTTTTGTTCTTTTTCGAATAAAATACAGTAAAAGTGGTACACCCCATATTCTTTTACTGGCCTTAAACGATTTTCATTTCCTCTATCTACTTTATAACAAACCCCATCTATTTCTTTACTGACACAAGAAACACCACTTTCATAAGTTCTTTTAAAATCTAAATGTTCTAATGAATAAGATAACTTTGGATAAATGCTTTTTAAATCTTGTTCATAATACTCTAAATTATCTAACAATATTTTAAATTTAGGTTTAAATATATCCATTGGATTTGAATTATTACTATTATTGTTGTTATTGATGTTATATTTAGCTTTTGAAACAAAGTTTATTTTTGAATCTTCATAACCTTTTAATAAACTATTTAAAATTTTTTCTAATAGTTTATCTTTTTTGACACCTTCTAATTCTTTTATTGAGTTTATAGTATCAATCACCAAATTTACAGATTTGAAAATTTCATGGTTTTCTTCTGGTTGCTTTAAAAAATTGTATTGAAGATTCAAATCTGTATCTAATAGATTCTCTGGTGAATCTATTATTTGAATTAAAAATTCAATATATGTTTTAAAATATCCTTCATCTAGCTTTTGTTTATATTCCTCTAATTGAATTTGATTTTCGAAATAAAAAGAAAATGTTAAATTTCTTTTTATATTTTTTTTTAATTTTCTAAAAAAAAAAAAAAATAAATATTAGAATATATTTTTTTTTTTTTCAAATTTAAAAATATTTACTTTTCCAAATCTTTTGATTTATCCATTCCATAAATAAATAAAAACAAAAATTTATAAATAAAAAAATCAAATAAAAAAAAAAAAAAAATTTTTCTTAAATCTAAATTTTTTAAAAAAAAAAATTTGGAAAAAAAAAATTTTTAAAAAAAATTTTCAAAAAAAAGAAAAATTTTGACAATTTTTTTTTGTGAAAATAATGTGATTTTTGTCAAAATAAAAAAATATATTTTAAAAAAAATTTTCATTGTTGCACATAATTATGGATAATCTTCTTCATAATCATTTCTTGAGTTTGAGTTTGAGTTTGGGTTTGGTTTGAGTATTCAAGATGTTTAATTTCAAAATGATAAATATACTTATTTGTCTAGCAATTTCCATAAAATATTACCAACTTTACCTGGAACCATCTTTTTTAAACCACCAATTCCACTCCATCCAAAAAGATCATCAAAAGAAAATTCATAACTTGGTAAATAATGCTTCTTTATTAAATCATTGGCATATTCATAAATTCATAATAAGCAGTTTGATGTTTTGTACCAAAACCTTCCCATTGAAGAAATTTATGGATAGCTTTAAACTTTCTAAATGACATTAGATTTGCAACAGTTAGTAATATACTATGGCCGGGGTACAACCTCAATACTTTAAGTGTTAAAATTACTCCCACATTTTTTTTTTTTTACCCAAAATAAATAAAACTTTATTAAATTATCCCCCTTCAATTTAATTGAGGTAATCTAATAATAGAAGTTTTTTGTTTTATAAAAGTTGTAGTGGTATTGAATTTAAATTTAATTTTTAGAAAATTAATTTTTAAAACCAAAACCCCTACAAACTTTACACTTTCTCAATTAACTCTTTATTGGAAAAAAAAAATAACTTAATATTTTATAAATAATTTTTTTTTGGAGTTGTTTCTTCATTTCAAATCTCTATGTGGCAATATTCTTTAGAAAAATAGAAAGGTTTATTATTGTAAAATTACAAATTTTACTAAGGGAGATTTCAGTTTGTTTGAGTAATAATTATCAATAGACACCAAAAATTACAAAAAAAAAAAAAAAAAAAAAAAAAAATTTTAAAAAAAAATATTGTTTAAAAATATATAATAAAAAATTTTTTAAAATTTTAATAAAAATTCACCAAAAATAAAAAAAAAAAAAAAAAAAAAATATATTCATACAAAACTATCTGGTTTAAATGGGTTTTTTATAATGGCCCTATTAATCCAATTAAAATTATAGTATTTCAAGACCTAACTCCCAAAGTTATCTCTACTTTACAAAAAGATAGTTTTGCTTTCCATTTTCAGGTAAAAAAAGAATTTCTTTCAAGTTTGAAACCTTTGAATTACCAATTTTTTGAAGAGTATTATTTAGATACACCTTGCCTATATTTTTCAAAAAAAAGCATTTGATAAAAATTCAAAACCAAGAATATTCATTTAAGTGTTGTTTTTTCGATGACAAAAATAAATTTATTGAAATGGAATCAGTTAAAAGAAAGGAATTGATAATAGAGTATTTAAAAGAGTATTTTAAAAATAGCTCGGAAAAAGATAAAATAGATTGGCAACCAACTTTAGAAAGTTTAGAAGTAATACAAACTATAACTTTTTGTAGATTTTTCTTTGAATATGGGTTCTATATCGATGAATACGTAAAAGAAGAAAGAGAAGAAGATAAATGTATTTATTTGGTGGAGTTTGTTTTAAAGATAAAGAAAATATGGATAAATTTTTAAACTCAAAAAATCAAATAAATTTAACCCCAATTAATTCAAAAATAATTTATTTTATAAAAAAGAAAATATACCATTTATTTCAAAAAATAATAAAAGTGATTTGATATCAGAACTTGATGAACCAATTGAATATGGTGAATACCTGTTGTTTGATCTCTTCAAAGATTGTAAAGTAAAACAAAGCGATTTTTTTGAAGGAGAGAATTTTTTTTAATCAAAAAAACTTGCCATTTAAAATCATTTTTATAAAAAAACTTCATAAAAAATATTCAAATTAGATAAAAACTTATTTAAAACTCCTATATAGTAGATGATTACAAAGTTAATAAACGTTTTAAATTTATTTAAATTTATTATAGTTTATTTTATTTATATAGTTTTATTTTTATTTTTTTATTTGATCTATTTATTTTATTTTAATATTATTTATTTTAACAAAATATTGAATAATTCATTTCTAACTCTTTCTTCATCAAACAAAGTTTTGATTTCATACCAAATTGTTGATTTAATTGAATGACGTTGTTGTAATAATTCTTCTAAAGAATGGTGATTTAAAAAACATGCATCATCAGGTGGAATGTGACCATTGATACTACTTCTTGGTCCGAGTTTTGATACACCAAATAAATTGAATTTAAGGGGCCCTAAACTATTTAATAAAGTATATTTCTCTATAATTGATGATAAATCAAAATCCAATGGATTAAAAAGTAAAAGACCTGCTAATTGAACTGAGCTATCTTTGCTATTATTCTTTGATGGAAAGTTTTCTTGATTTAATCTGTATGATATATGAATGAAATCATTTCTGAATTTATAAACTCTATTTATTTGTGATTTGTCATCTGTTACTATTATTCCCGAACTACAACTATTGTTACTGGTTTCACTACTGATGAGGCTGGCATTTTGTCCAAGATATATTATATTGATAAGTGGTTTATCTGTTGAGATTGAACTTGCATGGCTTGTACATGTAGTACAATTGATTGTATTGCAATTTAGCATTTGTACTTTATCTTTATTTAATCTTGTAACTCCTGTAAGTGTCTTAATGTTTAAATCAATTTGTGAACCATATTCGCCCTTGGTGTTTTTTAATGGGTTTTCTTTTGGTAATTCTAAATAATCTAAAACAGTGATTTTATATATGGTTCCTATTTTATCATATTTAAATACAATACCATTTGATTCAAAGCTAATTACCATACTAACTATTGAAATTGAATCTACGTAATCTAGTTGATTATTGCTAATATCAATTGTTTCCATGTGTTTGTAAGTTGATAGTTTTGAAAGAGAATTAAAAATTATTTTTAATCTGCTATCCCTATTTGATGATAATGATGAGCAGTTACTGCTACTTTTAATTTCTTTTAATGTACCATTTGAAAGATTGATATTTTTTAAATTTTTACATTCATCTATTTTTAAATCTATTAAACTTGTGCAACCAAATGCTGAAAAGAATTTTAATTTTGGTGCTGAAATTGAAATGGTTGCTAAATTCTTGCAGTTGTTAAGTGATAGTTTTTCTATTTGCAAAAGCTTTGTTTGAAATGAAAATAGCTTTGATTTTGGTGAAAAATCTATTAAGCTATTGCATCCAGAGAGATTGATGATTTGAAGGTTTTCGAATAGATCATAGGTCAAGTGTTGAGATTCTAAAGTTTGAAAGTTCTTCAAAGACAAATAGTTAATTTTGTTTCCATTCTTATTTAAAAGATCAATAGTATAGCTTTCATATGACTTTGTTATCTCTTCTCTTTTTAAGTATTTGATAAAACTTTTAATTTGCTTTTGATCTAAATTACTAACTTTGCATTGTCTTGTGATTGATGATGATGAGTTTAGGTCATTGATGATAAAATAAATATTATCTATTTTTGAACTCATTTTTTTATATTTGATTAAAGCTCTTAAAGGATCATATGTTTTAACCATATTTGGAATGTCTAATATTTCTTCTGATATGCCATATTGTTTCATAATTTCATTAATTGAAGATTCATTACTAAATGTGTTGTAGGCTGATTTGAATTTTGCTTTTCCTAAAAAGTGGTCAACGATATGATTTAAAGATATTGTTTTTTTTTTCTTGAATAGATTTTGTAAAGCTTTGATTCTTTTAAATAGCTTTTTAAATTGACCACCATAAAACAAAACACCTAGATATGAGTTTGAAATTTTGCAGCTGTTATTATTTTTAAAAAATAATTCGATAAATTTTAATTGAATCTTTTCTAAATCTTTTAAAAAATTATTTAATAGTTTTGAAATATCTAAGTTTAAAAAGTTGGTTACTACATCAAAGGTAATTTCAGAGTCCATTTGTTTCAATGAAAAAATTGATAGATTTGTATTTCTGACTTTGTTATGGGCGTTTCTATAGTTTTTTAAAGGTAAAAAACAATTATCGTTTATAATTGAATATATATTGGTTTCCGAATCTATAATATAATCATCCAAGTTATCTTCAAACTTTTCAAATAAAACAAGCATAATTATTAACTTTGATAAACTTGAGTTGTTTACAAAAAAATTGTTTTGTTGGAATCCCTTGAGTGGTCTAAAATTTTTCGACTCGTAAAGTATAACTGGCTCACCATTTATAATGCCCATTTCTGAAACTGGTAGCTTTTGATCAAAGAGAAGTGTATACAATGAATTGAATGCAAAGTGATAACCTGGGAATTTAGTATTTCTTTTTATAAATATTTGGTGGAAATTATCTTTGACCATATCAATTTTGGAATCTGTACGAAGAATTCTTTCTTCAACATATTCTTCATTAAAAAAATACAACTTTCTATTTTCTGAGAGATCATTCGAACCAGAGATCGATATTTTTTGAAAGAGATGATCAAAGGATAACAACCAATTAATTTTTGAATTATTTTCTTTTAGTTTGTTTATAGATTCATTAATTTCTAATTTCTCTTCTAATGATAATGATTGATAATAATTATTGATTGTAATTGGATCAGAGTTTTTACCTGCACCTAGATTAATAAGAGTTTCGAAAATTATTTTATTACGATTTTCTTGAACCAAATCTAATGGAGCTATACCATTGTAAACACTATCTACATCACAACCTCTTTTTTTTAATAACTTTATTGACTTTATTATATTGTTCATTAATTTACTATCTTTTACATTTTCAATAATTGAATAAATAATTGGTTTGGAAAGTTTTGGTTCGTTTAAATGTGTTTTTTTAATTTTTAATAGCTTGAAAGTATTTAAAATTACTTGATCAACATCTTGCTCTTCTATACTATTGTTGATTAAAACCACAAGCCAATCATTTAATAAGCTATACCATGTTGAGTCAAAAATTGTTTTATCATTTATAATTTGTTTTTTTGATAGGTCAAATAAAAGATTTACAATGTGAATAAACGACCAACTATTATCTTTATTGATTAGATCTGATACTTTGAGTGACGATACAATTGATTCAATCGATTCTTTTATTGTTTGGTGTTTATCTGGTGGGTTATAATTTGTTCTATTAATGATATCTAAGTAAAACTGGCGTTGTGGATGATTTTTTAAATATTCTTCGATTCTATTGTTATCATGGTATATTAAATAGTTTTGTTCATTTGGAGTTGGTAAAGTTGATGTTTTATTGTAATAAAATGAGGTCAATGGATATATTTCTTGAAAAAGACCCGAGTGGGTAATATCATTATTTGAGTTTAAAATATTGAAAATTTTAATTAATCTATCTAACATTTCATTTACCCAGTTGTGTGGAAAAACATGTGGTATCCCTAAATTGCCTATAGTTATTTTTAATGATTCTTCTTTGTTTATGATAGATTGATCAGAGTTTATTAGTTTTTTAATTTGAGATATAATTGCATTTTCTTTATCATACATTTTTGTTAACCACTCTATAACAGCACCGTATGGATTTATTTTTAAAAACTCGCTTTTAACTTTGTTGTTGATGGGTTGGACCATGATTGTATTTAATGTGCATAGTATATTTTTAAATTTGATTATAAGATTACCCGATGGTGTTCTTTCAAAGTCTTTGTGTTCCATACAATCGTCATTGTCTATTCCTATAATTATTTTTTCTTGGGGGTTATATATTAAATTGTCACCTTTTGCATCATTAAAGTTTAATAAAAGACTTACTAAAAAATGGGCTCCAAATGAAAACATGAAATTTTCAGAGTTTGATAGTTCATTTAAAAATTGGATCAATGGAAATGAAGAGTTCTTGGGTTCAAGAATATTATGAAGGGTTTCACCATTTTGAAATAAATTTGCCTGTACCGGTGTTGTAAATGATATGAATGAGTTGTATAATTCTTGTTTTTTTGCTGGAAAATAAAGAAGGGCTTCTTTGATAGTTTCGAGTTTATTATTTTGCTTAATTTTTAAAATTGATTTATATTGTGGTGATTCTGGATCACAAATAGGAACATTTTGGAAAAAGAGTAGTGATGTTGGTGAAATTATTTTTTGTTCTTTTTCGAATAAAATACAGTAAAAGTGGTACACCCCATATTCTTTTACTGGCCTTAAACGATTTTCACCTCTATCTACTTTATAACAAACCCCATTTGTTTCTTTACTGACAAAAGAAACACCATGTTCATTTGTTCTTTCAAAATTAAAATTTTCTAATGAAAAAGATATCTTTTGATAAGCGATTTTTAAATCTTGTTCATAATACTTTAAATTATCTAACAATATTTTAAATTTAGGTTTAAATATATCCATTGGATTTGAATTATTACTATTATTGTTGTTATTGATGTTATATTTAGCTTTTGAAACAAAGTTTATTTTTGAATCTTCATAACCTTTTAATAAACTATTTAAAATTTTTTCTAATTCTTTATCTTTTTTGACACCTTCTAATTCTTTTATTGAGTTTATAGTATCAATCACCAAATTTAAAGATTTGAAAATTTCATGGTTTTCTTCTGGTTGCTTTAAAAAATTGTATTTCAAATCTGAATCTAATAGATTCTCTGGTGAATCTATTATTTGAATTAAAAATTCAATCTTTTTTTTAAAATCACCTTCATCTAGCTTTTTTTTATATTCCTCTAATTGAATTTGATTTTCGAAATAAAAACAAAATGTTAAATTTCTTTTTATATTTTTTTTTAATTTTCTAAAAAAAAAAAATAAATAAAATAAATATTAGAAATATATTTTTTTTTTTTTTCAAATTTAAAAATATTTACTTTTCCAAATCTTTTGATTTATCCATTCCATAAATAAATAAATATATATTGTTTAAATAAAAATATATATATAAATAAATAAAAATATAAATAAATATTAAAATAAAAATTATCAATAATGAAAAAAATTTTATAAAAAAAATTTAATAAAAAAAAAAAAAAAAATTTTTTCTTAAAATTAACACCCCCCACACAAATTTTTTTTTTTTTACACACAATATATAAAACTTTATTAAATTATCCCCCTTCAATTTAATTGAAGTAATCTAATAATAGAAGTTTTTTGTTTTAAAAAAGTTGTAGTGGTATTGAATTTGAACTTAATTTTTAAAAATTGATTATTAAAACCAAAACCCCCTCAAATTTTACACTTTTCTCAATTTAACTCTTTGTAAAAAAAAAAAAAACCACTTTATATTTTTTGATTTAGAAAAGCTAATCTTTTTTAAAGTATTATAATAAATAAAATATTATTTTAATTATCAAAGTTTATTGTTTTTTAAAAAGAGTTAATTGAGAAAAGTATATTTGGTCATAAAAAATCTTGAATATTTGGATTGATTGAGATGACAACAAAAGTAGAAACAAATTGGAACCAACTCTCAATTCAATCTGGAAATGTTACAAAGTCAGTATAAGGAAGTGTAAATTTAAAATTCCTTAAGTGTTGTTTTTTTATTTTGAAAGTAAATAAATTAACTAAATAAAGAAATTAAAATTATAAAAAAAAAAAATTAAAAAAAAAAAAAAAAATTAATTATGAATTTTTTTTTTTAATTTTTTTTTTTTTAATTTCATTATCATTTTTTTTTTAAAATTTTTTTTTTTATTTTCTTTTTATTAACATCACAAATAACAATAAAAAAATTAAAATAAACTCCATTGTTATATAAATAATAAATAAATATTAATATTTATATAATCAATGGAATCCAATAATAATAGCAATAATAACAATAATAACACAAGTAATAATAAATTAAATTTAATTCAACAAAATTCATTAAAGAGGGAATTATCTCCATTTTCGACTCCGTTTGTTCCTAATGCTAGTTTTCTACCTTCACAATCCATAAGTATACAGCAACAGCAACAGCAACAGCAGCCATTGCAACCACAACCATCATTACTAGCGCCAACAAGCGCACCATTTATTCCATCATCATCTCCTTCATTAAATATTAATAACCCATTAATAAATAGTTTAAATAAAGATGGCCCAATTAAAGTAGGAAGAGAGTCTATTGAAACTTTATTAAAAAATAGATTTCATCCAAAGAATAATATTAGAGAAACTGTTCTATCATCACTCCAGAGTATTTTAATCCCCGATATCTCTGACAATATAAATAACACCAAAGAAAATATTGAATATTTTTACAATATGATAATAAATGAAAACAACTATGTATTAAAGCAACTATTACAAAGCGTTTTAAATGATACAAAAAGAAATTTAGTAGTCTATAATTATAATTTAGAACATCATCAGCATCATCATAGCTCACCACCCCCAATCGAATCCAAACAAAATAATAACTCCAAAAGAAGAGATGAAAGAGGCAGAGGCAGAGATAATAAAAGAGGCGGCAAAGATAAACAAAAACAGCAACAGGAACAATCTCAAAGTTTAGAACAAGAAGAGTCAACACTTTACCTACCGTTTTCAAATTTATTAACCTTTATTAAAACAAAAAGTATTGATCCATCACGTCCTTTTTCATTGCCCGATGATGATAGCGATAATTCATATATCAGATTATTGGAGTATAACTTGAAACTTTTAGTAAAAGTCTACTTCAAAAACTATTACCAAGAATCAATTAAAAATCATATATTTGACATTTATCAACAAATAAACAACGCAATAACAGAAAGACAAAATCAATTGCTTGAAACAGAAAATAGTGACAATAGCGAAATTAATAATCTTAATAATATTAATAATAATAATAATAATAATAATAATAATAATAATAATAATAATAATAATATAAATGATCAACAAAAACAATCATCAATATCACAATCAAATATTGATCAAGACCATATTAATTATAAAGTTAAAACTACACATAAACCACAGCCAATCATTTCATTATTAATCCCAATAGTTTTAGTTTCAATTGGGGATATTATTAAATTCCAGTATAATAATAACTGCGATCAAAACAATAGTTTAGCTAAAATGGAAAGAGAGGAAAAGATAATAAATAATATATTATTAAACGAATTTAATAAAACCGATGTATCAATCATAGAGTCAAATTTATATTTATTTGAATGTATATTATCAATTAGTGTCAGTAATGAACCAACAATTAATCCAAACCCAATTCCAGTTCCAAACCCTGCGACTATTAATCAACAACAACCACAGCAATCACCTCAAACAACTGAACAATCTTTTACATCCAATCCAACTTCCCACTTATTAAATGAAAAAGTTGGTTATATATTTAAATTTAATAAAGAATTGTTTAGAAAATTAATTTCTTTAGTATATTCAACTATTGTTCAACATCAAATTACTCTTTCTACAGTGTTCACAACATTGGTATTAAAAGGTTATTTAAATGAAGATCAAATTCAAAAGCTATTAAATGTAACATTATTTAAGTAAGTACTTACTTTTTTTTTTCAATTTTTTATTTTTTTATAAAATTCAACATGTAAATATTAATTTTAATTTTCTTTTATTTTATTTTACAGATTAACAGATCCAAATAAACAGGTTCAATTAAGTTATTTAACATTGTTATCAAAAATGGTATCATATTTTGATTTAAATCATCAAAAAGCATTAAACCACAAAGCAAATGATATATCATTACCATACAAGATATTAATTATGAGGTCTTCAAATCCAACATTTTTTAATGGACAAATATTTAAAAAGATTTTTGACTGGATTTTAAGTATGATTGGTACAAATTCATTCGATGAAGAGTTTCAATTAAAAAAACAACAAAGTTTCAAAGCCCTAACCAAATTTTTAATTGATCAATTCGATAGCTATAATGTAATCTCAATTTTGTTCCAAGAACAAAACAAACTTTTATCTACTCAACAAACAAGTGGCCAATCTGTTACAATCCCACCACCATTAAATTCTAATCCTACTTTATTGGATCAAAGTAAGTTATTACTATAATAAAATAATAGATTATATAATCATATTTATTCACCTTTTTTTATTATCAATAGAAAAATTTGAAACCTTAATTTCCAGATCAGACGAATTAATTTGGTTTTGGGCAGTTTGGGAATGTAGTAAATATTGCATTGCAAATAGATTAAAGTCGCCATATGGTTCAGCTTCTCAAACTTTTGAAGTATTTGAAAAAGCTTTGTTACAACTAAATAGAGATAGAAGCGATTTTAGAAAAATTAAAATACTTTTAAATTTTATGGATTCATTGGAAAAATTAATATTTTCTACAGTAAATGGTTCCGTGTTATTACCAATATCAAATTCAAAAGAGTAAGTCAAGTTTATAAATACCTTTATATAATATAATTGAATATTTTATTAATAATATTATGTTTTTCCCAATACTTTTTTAGTGTTCACTTTTTTAAACATAATGTAAGAGTTTCCGAAGATTGGTTTTCGAGAATTAGAGTTAATTTATTAAAAGCAAGTATTTTATCAAGCTCAACACCAGATATTATAAGACATGCATCGCTAAGAGTCCAAGATATTAAGTTAAACAGATTCGTATTGGATTCCACAAGTGCTCAATTTGAATTAGAATTTTGTATTTTACATTTGGCTAATGCCCTTCAACAACTTAATGAAACTGAATCTTTACAAGGGTTAAATCAATGGTGCGATTTGCATTTTAGTGGCAATACTATTTTAAATGCTGCAGAATCTATAAAGCAACAACAACAAATTGTACCAAAATATCAATTAAAATTACCATGGATGAAAGGTGTTATTTTAAGAACTCAACAAAAGTTCGAGGAATCGATTGTAAGCTTAGCAAATGTTCCACAGCAACTAGATCAGACTTCAATATCTTTCCCATTTGTGTTGGAACAACTTATCAAATCCTATTTAGATATTTCAAACTTCACCGAGGTCGAGCAGTTCCTTCAAAAGTATAGAGATCAGATTCAAGAGCAATCAAACTCTGTTGTTCTCTATAAAGAAACATTCATAAAGACCCTGGGATCATTCTATAGAGGTGATATGGAAGAAACTCATCAATTCATTAAAAGAACTGAAAATCAAAATCATGAACTAAAGAGAGAACAATTAAGTCTAGGTTTACTTGGTAATCAAATAATGACCGATGAATTATTGTTATCAATTATGGTATACCAAAAAGATTTGTTTTTACAGCAACAACCAAATCAACTTCCATCACAAGATAAGCAAGAGCTTCAAAATCACATAAATACAATGTTACAAGCAACCAAAGATAATATTTTGAAGGCATTAAATTATTTAGGTTTGGAGTCAAACGTTCAAACATTCCAATACCTCACCCAGCTCAAAGTTTTGGATGAAATTGAAAATGGTGTTTATAATAGCAAAGTTGTACCGATAAATAATCAAATTGGTTTCTTAGAAAGGTTAAGAAGAATTAGAGGTCACATATCAAATACCAAACAAAGATCAGATATCTTATTTAGTAATATACCGTTAACAGAGAAAATGATCAAACTAACAAGAAAGTTTGAAAACTATAAGTTTTCATCAAAATTATTGGATACTATTTTAGAATCACATTCAACCTATTACTTTTTAGAACGTTCGAAACTAAAGTATCTCTCAGGTAAACAAATTGAATCTACACTCGATTTAATTAAAAATTCTCAAAAAGATATTGAAGGTTTAAATCAAATTATTCAACCATTAGGTACCAATAGTAATAATAATACAGTACAATTATATTATCAAGATTTTATAAATCAAAAATTTAAAGTTTTTAAAGAAGTCATTAAATATCTTTTAAATTCAACACAAGGACAACTAAAAGAATTATTAAGCAATGGTGTTAGTAACGAATTAATTGATCCAGAATATTATTTCAAAAAATTAATTTATATTAAACCTACCAACTCTAAAACATATATCAACTATTCAAACTGGATATTAAACGAAAAAAATAAACCAAAAGAAGAAATAGTTACAAACCAACCAGAAGAAGAAGAAGGTAAAGAAAATAATAATGGTGAACAACAGACTACAAAAGAAATTTTAAAATTAAAACATATCAATTTAGCAGATTTGAAATTATCAGTAGAGTTATTATTTAAATTTTTAAATTACAATATTTTAAATAACCAACAACAAAAGCAACAACAAAAAAGTAATGAATACCAACAAACTCCTGGTAATCTACAAAAGAACTCTGAACAAAATAGTAGCGGTTTAGTAATTAGAGCAACTTTAACAATTTTAAATATCCTGGTTTGTTGTGGCAGTAAACTTGATGAAACCTTTAAGAAATGTTTAAATGAATTATCATCAATTAAACCATTTACAATGATAATACCCCAATTATTTGCAAGATTAAATCACCCAGATTTTATTGTCCAAAAGTATGTTATTGAAATTTTAAATAGAATTGGTCAAGATAATCCAAATAAAATTATTTATCAAACCATAGTAGCATCTTTAAACTTTAATAACTATAAAATTGAATTAAGAGATCAACAATTAAAACAACAATCACAACAAGAAAAACAATTTTCAAATCAACAACAACCACCATCACCACAACAATCATCACCACCACAACAACAATCATCGCTATCAACACAACAACCATCCCCACATGATAACATTGAGCAACAACAACAAAATTTACAATCAATGTTATTAAAACAATTCCCCAACTATTTACAAATCTTAAATATTAAAGATAACTTATTGAAGCACTCTCAATTGCTAATTTTCGAAACAGAAACTTTAATATTCGAGCTAGGTAAAATTACTATCTTATGGGATGATAATTGGCAATACTTTTTAGAGCAAGTTCAAGGTTGGGTATTTAATAATCAAAAACAATGGAATGATGAATACCAACAAATGAAATCATCAACAAAAAATCAATCAAACATGAAACATCAATTGAAAAAGAAAAATATTGAACTATTCCAGCCAATTTACGAACGTTTAAAGAGATTAACATCACAAACAGTTTTATCCGTATGTAATACACCACATGAAAAATGGTTTATCAAATGCTACTTTGAAACTATCAATAAGACCATGAGAGCATTAGAGAAACAAAACAGACCAACTGCTCCTTTCGATGTTTTAAATGGTTTAATTTACAAATTCTCACTTCATAGATTAAATTGCTTAAATCTCTATTCCATCAATCCATCATTAGCATTATTTAGACCAACTATCACTCCAATTCCCGGTTCAAGTAATATTTTCAAGACTCATCATAATCATCACCACAGTATTAATCATCATAACCACAATAACATTATTTTAGGTGGTAGTGGATCTAAAATCAACAATAGCACCTCGTCGACTTCCTCAAACTTTTCAATGGATAACCAAGTCAAAATTCAAATGATTCAGCCAACAATCTATTTATTACCAACCAAAACCAAACCAAAGAAAATATCGATTCTAGGTAGTGATGGTAATCTTTATCATTATTTATTAAAAGGTAGAGAAGATTTACATTTAGATGAAAGAATTATGCAGCTTTTAAATATAGTTGATCAATTGTTAATGAACGATAAGAAACCAACATTAAAACTTTTAAGAACAAGAAACTACTCAGTCATACCATTATCGCAAAGCTCTGGATTAATCCAATGGGTAGAAGGTGCTGTACCATTATTTTCACTTTATAAAAATTGGTATCGTAATGATCAATTGTTTAAACAACAACAGCAACAACCACAACAATCAGGCCAAAATCAACAAGCTCAAACATCTGCATCAACCCAACAACAACGTCAAATCCTTGTTAGACCTGTTGACATATTTTATTCAAAGATTAACCCATTGCTCGAGAATAATAACTTCAACATTTTAAATAGATCCGAATGGCCAAAAGAAATTCTTTTACAAGTTTTTAATGAATTGGTTCAAGAAACTCCAAAATGGATCTTACAACGTGAATTATGGTTCTCTTCTTCATCATCATCTGAATTGTTTTTAAAGACCCAAAGCTATAGTCGTTCTTTAGCATTAATGTCAGTAATTGGATATATCATTGGTTTGGGCGATAGACATTTAGATAATATTTTAATAGACTTAAAAACTGGGGAAATTGTACATATCGATTACAACATTTGCTTTGAAAAAGGTTTAGAACTTAAGATCCCAGAGAAAGTACCATTTAGAATGACTCAAATATTTGAATATGCTTTAGGTTTAACTGGTATTCATGGAACATTCAGAGAAACTTCAATTCAAATTTTAAATTTACTAAGAAAGAATAAAGATATTTTATTAAATCTTTTGGAAACATTCATCTATGATCCATTATTCGATTGGAAACATTCAAATAAAATGAACCATATCAATATATTAAAAGAAAATATGAATCAAACAGCAGGTGATCAAAATATACCAACAACCTCACAATTATTGCAAGAAAATAATTTGAATAATAGTGCAACATCAACACCACAAAAGAAACCTCTAGCCAAAAGTAATAGCGAGTCAACAATTGTAGATAATGATTCAAGCCAAAGCGATATTGATGAAGAAATAGATATCTCAAATAGAGGTGACGATATGGATAACGACAACCAAGATGATAACAAACTAGATGAAGATGACGAAAATGATGAAGATATAATTTTGAAATTGGAAGAATCAAACGGCAAAGATACATTCAAGAGTATTCAAGGTCTTACTGTTGTAAACCAAGTTAGATTAAAATTAGAAGGTACCGAAAAGAAACTATCAGTTCCTGATCAAATCGATTTAATCATCAAAGAAGCAATGAATCCCGAAAATTTATCTCAAAACTATGAAGGTTGGTGCGCATGGTGTTAAAAAAATAATAAAAAAAATTTACTACATAATTAAGTGTAGAAATAGATTTAATAAAACCAAATTGGTTAGTGTTTCTTTATTGTAGTGTTATTTTTTTTTTTTTTTTTTTGTTTAGGTGTTATCCTCCAAATTTATTTTAAAAAGTAACAGCTAAGATTTCAAGGTTTGGATTACAATCACCATTAATAATGAAACCAAATGTGTAGGTTCTATAATTAATAATCAAATAATTAAAGTTAGTAACTAATATAATAAATTATATATGTTATTTTAAAACTTACGAATTTTTGTTGACTGATAATTGATAACCTGGTAAGGTGAGTTCACCATTTGGTAATCTATTTACATTCCAAATTGAGGAAAAGTCTCTCAATGTTAATGAAGCATCAGTACCAATGTAGATTTGGGTGATATCAAAGTCAAGGTTATTTTTAATTGCAACATCATATTGAGTGAATTTTTTATTGTCGACTTCCCATTTGTTCTTTACTTGTGAAAGTAACTCTACATCTTTGCATTGTGGGATTTCAATACAACTACAGAAACCTTTTAAGGTGTGGCAAATTCTTCCTTTTCCGCATGGTTGATTATTACATCCATGATTATTAGCAGAGGCAAAAGCAAAAGCAATTAAAATTAAACATAAGACAGCTAAGAATTTCATTTTTTTTATAAGTATTTAATTATTTATTAAATAATGATTTAATGAATAAATTATTTTTAAAATTTTGTTTTTATAATTTTTTTTTTTTATTAAAAAAAAAAAAAAGTTAAAATATAATTAATAAAATATAAAATGTCAGATTTAATAAACTAAAGATTTAATCAAATTTGTAATTTAATAATAAATTTTTTAATATTGTAATTTATTCTATGAGGAAAAAAAAAATTTAATATGTAAAAAAAAAAAAAAAAAAAAAATTTTATTAATAGATATTATATTTTATTTATAATTTGATGTTTAAAAAAAAAATTGTATAAATGAAAAAAAAAAAAAGAATAAATCAAAAAACACTATAATATTTGATATACCTTTTTGAAAAATTATAATCTAAGATGAGTATTGTGGACAAAATTTTTTAAATCAATCGAATATATAATATGTTATATTTCAAAGAATTTTTTTGATATTTGTAGAGTTAATATAATCAACTACTTTATTAGGTAATAATATTATATTAAAATACTTTATTTGGTATTTTTATAAAATTCTAAATACAAAATATAATTTATTTTTTTTACTACCACCCCAACTTTAAATACCACAAAAAAAATTTATTTTAAATAAAAAAAAAAATGGAAATAGAAATAATTAAAAAAATAGTAATGTTTTTTTTATTATAAATTCAAGCAATCTTTATTTTAGTTTAATAAAATTGAAGTGGTAAATCGTCAACATTTAATGACTTCTTTGCTTTCTTTAATAATTCTAATTTATAAATACATTCGGCACGTTTTGCAATTACCAATTCGTTCTCTCTTAAGAGTTGCTCTACCAAAGAGGTATCATACAAAGAATTTATTAATTCCTTGTGAATAGTATCTTTTGATTTGTCAATTAAGAGTAAAGAAATTGCTTTCATGGTGTTTTGTTGTATATTAAATTGTGCTACATCCTTAAAGTATACAGTTAACAATCTTCTAAGTAAATTAATTTGACGTCTTTCTTCCTCTGTAATATCATTTAATCCATATTGTTCTAAATTTGATGGTTTTTCTGAAATGATATTTATTGATTTTGGTTTATTGTTATAATTAGTTTGTGGTTGCTGTTGGTATGAGTGGGTTTGTTGAGGCTGTGGTTGTGGTTGTGGTTGTGAACTTTGAGAACCAAAAATCCTTGATAAAAATCCACTAGATTCTTGTTGTACCTGTTGCTGTTGTTGATATTTTTGTTGTTGGTATTGTTGTTGCTGTTGTTGTTGTTTAATTTGACTATCAATTGGATAAGATCTATCAATAATATAAGGATCTAAATCATCGAAAAAAGAATTATTATTATTAATATTTATAAAAGCATTATCTTGTGGAATTAATAAAGTTGAAGAATTTGTAAACAAACCATTTAATTGTGAAATGTAATTTGGATGAGTAGTATTAATAAAAGAAGCCTCGGCATCAACCAAATCAGAAATCATTTGATTACATGGTTTTAAAAGTTTTCTAAGAGAATTGTTTGAAACTTCTACAATACGTTCACGTAATACTGGGAATCTTGAAAGCAAAGTTGAATCTACTTGACCCAATATTCTTAACAACTCCTCCAATACTAATTCTGAACATTGAAGCATTGGTTCTTTAACTTTTTCAATTTGTTTCTTTATTAATGAGTCGAATATCTTTTGTGGAATAAACATTGTAGATTTCAAACCAGATGCATTTCTTAAAGCAACTTTTAATTGTTGATCACTTAACCAATCAAATGGTTTTTCTTTTTGGTTTTCGAATGCTTTTGAAAAAATATATCTAATTCTAGCACCACCATTGCTATTTAAAAAAAATATTAATATAAAATTTTATTAAAAATAATAAAATGGTAAAACTTACAAATTTGTTAAAACCAAATCTTCATTTGTACCTTCTAAATCAGATCGATATTGATTTGAGTATTTTGTTAAGATATCTATTAACAATCTTGCTTTTTCACCGGAACGATTTGGTACTGGGTCACCATATTTTTCTAATTCCTCTTCATATTTCTTAATGAGAATTTTAATTTGATTCTTTACAGTTGGGAAAGTATCTCTAATATGTTTTGTTAAAATCTTATTACATTTTTGAGCCAAATACTTTGAACCAGATTGATTAAATACTCTAGAATAAACTGGGTGATTTTGGAACCATTTTACCTCATCTTTTAAACTGTCGCTGATTGGTTTACCATAGTTTATATCTTGTTGTGAACGATTAACTACACCAACAAAACCCATACTTAAAGGAATTTCATTACCTAAAAGAATATCTAAAGCATCGGTACCTTTATCCATTAAATCAAGTTTTGTTAAAACACCAACGGTTCTTTTACCCAATGGATCAACTTGCTGGGCTAATTTTAGGGCATCAGAGGTTACAATATCTTGGTTGGCTGGAGTAATTGCTAAAATGATTGAATTTGGATTATTGATGTATGATAAAATCATGGAACGTACTTTTTCTTCTATATCAATTGGTTGATCATCAACAGCAACTCTGGTTAAACCTGGTAAATCGACCAATGTTAATGGAATAACATTTGGTGAATGAATTTTGAGGATAATTGGCTCTGGTGAAATATCTTTTTTGGCACCTGCAATTCTTTCAGTTTCTTTTTCGATTTCTTCCTTAATTTCAAAATAACTAAATTTTCTATCACCTGTATGACCAAACTCGCCCCACTCTTCGTTTGAATCTTCATTTTGGTATAATTGCAATACCAATGGTCTTCGAGTTACCAAACCTGAACCTCTTGGTAAAAAATCTCTACCTACTAATGACTCTAATACTGATGATTTACCAGATGATTGAGATCCTACAACAATAATTTGAGGTAAAGTAATCTCTGATCCAATTAAAGCTGCATTCTCTTGTAATTTATTAATGATTGGTAATAAACTAAACCCAACTGATTCATAATCGCTTATTTCTTTTAAATTATTTTTTGTTGATGAATAATATCTTTTACTATTATTATTGAAATTTAATTGATTAATATTATTAATGATACTGTTTTTATAAAATTTATTTAAAATATTATTTTCTTTTTGTAGATTTTGTTGTTGTTTCTGTTGTTCTTCTAATAATTCTTTAAATTCATTATTGTTAATATCCAATGTTTTTATAATTGTTGAATAATTTCTTTTTAATTTTAACTGTTTATTTTTTTGTTTTAAGCATCGAGTAATTATTGGATACAAAGAGTTATAGTTATAAACCATAACCTGTGTGGTTTTTGTTGTTAGCATTTTGATACTAAATTTATTAAAAAAAAAAATAAAAAAAATAAAAATATCTTTTTATATTTTTTAATAAAAAAAAAAAAAATTTTATTTTTTTTTAATTTTTTTAATTATTTTTTCAGAAAAATTAAAATAATTTTTAGTTGTCATAAAACATAATAATTATTAAATTTTTTTCATATAATTTCTCATTTTTTGGTTTAAAAAATAATCTAAAATAAAAATAAAGGACTTAATCAATTGTTTTTAGCCGTAATTCAACGAAAGAAATAATTGGAAAAAAAATAAAAATAAAATGATTATTCTTGGGAATTAATTTTTTTTTAATAATTTATTTTTTTCAATGTGAATATTTAAAATTATTAATTTAATTGATTACTCTATTAGGCCAATAATAAACCTTTTGAATCTTTTATAATACTTTTGGGGGGCAATCGTTGAAATTTCTGATTTTGTTCCATATTTAATTGTTTTGTAAAAATGTGCAAATTTTTTTTTAAAATTATATAATACCAAAATATCAATTATACCAATATAGTAGATTATTTCTTTTTCAACAAAGTTATTTTCAATTGATGTTGATATTGATGATGATTGTGAGGAAGATAATTGTAATAATGATGAATTTATTAATATTTTTGATTTTATTTCGCTCAGCTTTATTTGATCAGTGCTACCGCTATTACTACTACCACTTTCAATTATTGGTTCTTCGATACTATTATTATTGCAATAATGTATACCAACTAATAATGAATAATCCATGATATTTAATGATTTTAAAAATTTTGAGTCTTTTTTGATTTGATTTATAAATTGGTTTTTTGTATCTTGATTTTCAATTTTAATTTTTAAATTATCATTTAAAAAATCGATATCTTTATATGTTATATTATCTAAATTATTTGGTTTATTTTTAGTCTCTCTATCTTGATGGGAACCCTTTAAGTCAAAACGTAATGATATTTTCTTGTTTGCTGGAAATAGATTGTCTATAATGATGAATCTAATTTTATTTGAATGATGGACACCTTCTACTCTAAACATACCATAAAAACGAGGTAATAATGTCAATGGATTATCCTCAATATGTTGAATATATTGAGGTAATATCTTTCTTAATAGCTTTGATTCGTCTTTAGAGATAGTTTTTATAATATATTTCATATTATTTGAAAAATAAAAAAATGATCCGCTTTTACCTGGGGATGATAGTTCCCGTAGTGGATTCTCTTGTGAGCAAAATGAACTTTTAAACTCTTCAATACTAATATTAAATAGTTTTCTTAGATATTTGAATGCATTAGGTTGGTAGATTTTGAATTTGAACGACAATTGATCCTTGAAATTGTCATCTACTGGATGTTTAAAGAACTGTGCTTTACCTGTTGAGTAAAACATTTTAATTTCGTTTGGATTGGTTGGTTTGGTGGAATTGTTTGAGTCACCATCTATCGTTATAGAATTTCTTAATCCGTGTTGAATATCAAATATTAAATTCCAACTAGGATGATTTCTATCAACATTTTCTCCAATAACTTGTAATAATTCGATGTCTTTATTCATTTTTTTTTAAAAAAAAATAAAAAAATAAAAAAAAAAAAAAAATTTTAAATAGTTTATAAAAAAATCAAAAATTTAAAAAATAAAAATTATTTACACACCAGGTAATTAGTTTATTTTTAGAATTAATCAACCTGGTTTTAAATATTTATTAAAATATTTAGTTTTGTAATATTTAATTTTTTATTTTAAAATAGAAAAAAGAAAAAATTTAGAATTTTATTTAACGTCTATTCTTGTTTGATTCTAAAAAATCGGGAAGCTATAACCAATAAGCTGAAGGCATTTGAAAATCTTTTTTTGGTGTAAATTGGATTTTTTTTAAAAAAAAAAAAAAAAGTAAAGATTTAAATGTTTTTCAATTTACTGATTATATTTTTTTTTTTTTTTTTTTTTTATTAAGCTTAATATGATAAATATTATTAGTGTAAGTGATAGTATTTTATTTATAAAACTATAAGTAGTAAGGATTGGGGTAAGGTTGAAACAAATCTTTTTAAGAAGTTTCTTTTCTTTATTTTTGTTCAATAGAAGGTGATTTGGGACTACCTGATTCGTACGGAGTGGTTTTGATTGGTGTGGAAATATTTAGCTCACATTTCGAGTACTGTTGCTTTTTGTGGTAGTATTCGTATTTGTTATGGCGGTTTTATTTATGGAAGTTGGTGAAGCTAATATTGTGAAGATTTTGTTAATTGCACCGACCCTGGATGTTCTAGAGGGTCCTGGTTGATTATTTTTATTTTATTTTTTTTTTATTTAAAATTTTTCTATCTCTAGGAAGATAAAAGTATCCAAAAAGGCCCCAGCGGGGATCGAACCCACGACCTCTTCCTTACTAGGGAAGCGCAATACCACTATGCTATGCGGCCATTTTATGATTTGAGATAAAAAATCTAATTTTTCGATTTTAAAATATATAATCACTTGTTTTTTGATTAAAAAAAACATTTTGATAAAATTAGACAAAACAACCATATAATAAAAATAAACAATCATTAAAATTTCATAATGATAATTACCCTAAAAAAAATTTTACAAACCAACTTTTGCTCCCTTCAAATTAAAAAAATCAGATGATAACAATAAATAAAAAATAATTAACATTAAGAATTTATTTATATCCATTCAACTCGTAGTTCATTGTACCAGGAGCATCTAAATGTATGGGCTTCATTTTGCTGAATTTTTTATATGACAATATCTTGAATATTCTGTTTTCAAAACAAAAAAAATTTCATATCTTATTCTTTTGCCCAAATGAGAAAAAGCTACAACAGAAGCAGCTTCAATAGGGTGAGGTAGCTAACCCCAGCAAATCCAATGGGTACTTTACAAAATTCCTGTTGCTGATCACACCTCTTAAATGTGAAAAGAACTTTTATTATAAATTTTAGACTTGTTTTTTTATAAATACAATTTTTTTTTTTTTTTTTTTTTTTTCAAAAAATTAAAAAACACAAAATAAAAAAAAAAAATTTTTATATATAAAAGTATAAATATTTTTTTATGTTTGTTTTACAGATTTTTAAAAACCATAGCTTTTAATGAAAATATTTATTTTATTTACATAAATTATAATATTACTATTATTTGATTTTTTTTTTTTTTTTTTTTTTTTTTTTTGGAGGTGTTATTTATAAATTTAATTTTGTTTTTCACCTGGTTTTTTGACAGCTTGAATTGGTTTCCAAATTAGTTCAGCACCAAATTTTTGACTTTCTTTTCTTCTAATAACCATGTATTTTTTAATTTGGTCATTCCAATGTGGTAATGGTTCAGATTGGTTACCATCGACAATCCATGGATGTTCGAGAGCTTGAGCTGCACTATATCTCTTTGATGGTTCAACAGTTAAAAGACAGTTAATAAAATGTTTTGCTTCTTTACTAATACTTCCCCAATATTCTGCTGGGAAATCATAATTTGCTGATAAAATTGATTCAAAAAGTTTTCTAATATCTTCACTATAAAATGGTGGGAAACCACATAATCTATAAAATACAAAAATTATAAATTAGCAACTATTTATTTATCTATATCTATCTATCTATTAACTAAATACTTACAAAATATAAGTTATAACACCAACACCCCACATATCGACTGCTTCACTATATGCAGAAGGAGTATTTGTGATATTATTTAAAACTTCGGGTGCAACATAACTTGGTGTGCCACAAGTAGTTTTCATAAAAACTTCGTCTGATAAAATTTTAGAAAGACCAAAATCTGAAAGAGCAATATTTAAATCTGTTGGTGTTTTTAATAAAAGGTTCTCTGGTTTTAAATCTCTGTGAACAATACCAATTGAGTGTAAATATTTTAATGATTCTAATAATTGTTTGGTAACTAACTTTGCTTCTTTTTCGCTAAATGATTTTTTATCGACAATTCTATCAAACAATGGTCCACCTGTAACTAATTCGACAACTAAATATATTTTATCTGTTGATTCGAAATATTCATGCATTTTAACAATATCTAATTATTTAAAATATAAAATATATTAATAACTTTATTGATATTTTTTTCATTATTATGTTGTAGTATTCTTTTTGATTGTTATAATTTTAATACTTACTTGGATGTTCAACTTTTTTCATAATTTCGATTTCGGTTTCTAATGCTCCTTTTGAAGAGGACTTTTTATCTATTATTTTCATTGCCCATTGTTTTTTAGTTTTTTTTTCTGTAACTAAGAAAACTACTGAAAATGCACCCCTATAAAAAAATTAAAATGAATTAGTTACAAATTTTATTGATTAATAATTAGTTTTATTGATGATATTATTAACAAATAACTAATAATAATTTTTATTGACAATTTATTGGTAATGAATTTAATAAAGTGTAAAAATGGTAATACAAATACATATTACCATTTTTAAAAAAACTCTATCTCTTGTTGATTGTAATTATAGTGATGATTATATAATGTTATTCTATTGTAATTATTATCCCCCTACTATCTTTTATTAATTATTTTATTTATTATAATTATTATTTTGTCATTTTATTATTATTATTATCATCATCACTATTATTACTATTACTTTATTGTATATTTATGCAATATATTGAAAAAAAAAAAAGATTTAATAGATAAAGTTGATTTATATGTATATGGTTAATGTGAATAAATTCCTATATGCAGGTTGTATATATTTATCTATCCATACTTTCCAATTTCTTTATGTAATTCGTAATCACCAATTGGCATTTTTACAAAAGATTTTAATTTTAAATATATATAAATTTGGTATGTATTTTAAAAAATATAATGGTATGATGTGAAAAATTATTTTGAAAAATTTTGAAAAAAATTAAAAAATAAAACACAACTAAAAATAAAAATAAAAATAAAAAATAAAAATAAAAAAAAATAATAAAAAAAAAAAAACCAATTATTTAATGTTAGTATAACACCAAAATATAAAAAAAATCACTATAATATACACAACACAACACAATTAGATTAAACTTTAAAAAAAATTTAAAAAAAATTAAAAAAAAATTTAAAAAAATTAAAAAAAAGATTTTAATTTTTTTTTTTTTTTCAATTTTTTATTTAATCTTGGTTTATGAGGG